AATACTAAACTGCCCTTGTTTAAAAGAGTCTCTAAAATCACAATAAATCCATATCATAAAAGCCTTGATCAATAAAAAAGTTATCACAAAATAAATAATCTAATTAAACACTGTTCAAAACCTAATTAAAAAATAAGTACAGCAGTTTGTCAAAAAAATAAATGAAGGTAACATTGTCTTAGATGTAAATATGAAGTCTTAAAAACGAGAAATAAAATGTAACCTAAATTTCTCTTGGAGGTGATTTGGTTAAGACAGTACGTCCTGTTCTCTCATTGCGGCTGAAGAGCAGAAGGTTCTCCGATTGGTAGTTTATAACCATTTCTTCGATTGACGAGAAACTCTGATAAAGAAGAGATTCTTATTAAAATTGGTACTATACTCACCTCAGCAAGCAAAATTAAACTGAAATTACCTGTTCATCTGGTTTTTCAAAACCAAGAGCAATGCGTCCATCTTTCCTTTGGCGGACACTAATATTGTACACTCTATTATTAAACCAGAGAGTTAATGTTAAAGGATTTTGAGATTGAGACGACGGTCGAATGAGAAAATAACCATCAATACCTACGACAAAACAAAATTTGACCATTAATTTTTTGTTTTCCTATAAATGCATTTAAAGTGAAAAATTTAACTAACCATTTTTAATAAGTTCTTCAGCTTGTTTGCGATCAACATTCTGAAACCACGGTTGGTGTTCCAAATTTGATATACACAGTCCTCCTTTGGATGTCTCTGGTGCTAAGGATAATTAAAAGTGTTTCAATGACTTAAGCCATAAACAAAGTAAATTAGAACATGATGTCAAGAGAAAAGGTCTATCTCACAGCTATTTGTTTCTGGATGCGGTCTTGGAGTTGGTGGAAGAGGTCTGTTGGGAACTGGAGGTCGTGGATCCGATACCTGACTTTTGGCAGTGGTAGAAGACCTCTTCCCATCACACTTCTCTGGAGGAAAGAACAAACAAAAATAAAAATTCAGAAGCAATAAAGAAAACATTGTTTGGCGCAAACTAAGGAAACGATATAGCATATTGCCCGGGTGAAGTAAGAAGAGTGCACCCACCCCTGCCCCCTCCTCTCACTTAGTCATTGCAGTTAGTCATACAGGCCACTTAGTCCTCAACCTACTGGCGTTGTTCCAGTCGTCCCAGCGACTACATGGGTTAAAGGAAGAAAACCTTCGCCACAACTGACTGCCACGCGCTGACTTCTTCAACGGGAGGGTCGAAGTGGAGTCGGCGGTGGGACTCAGGGCCGCGCCATGGCATGGGTGAGAGTTGCGCCCCGAGGGCTCGGTTGCTATGTCGATGTTGATCTCCACGACCGACATGTTCGTGAGTTTGCGCGGCAGGGTGCGGTGGCCACCGTCAGGGACTGGCTTCATGGTCGCCGTGACCCCCGGGCTCCCCGTGAGGCCCAGCTGGGCCCCGAGCTCGGCCTTGCGTTTGCGTTTGGCTGGGTCCACAGGCACGGGAGGCGACACGGGCTTGTCGTAGTGTGTGACGGCCCCAGTGTCCGCGGTGGTCTTCTCATCGATGGTCTGATACACGGCGTCCAACGCGGGGGAAGTCACGGCTACGGGCACGGCCGATACATTGTTGGAGGCCTGGAGCACGCGGAGGGGCTGGCGAGGGAGCTGCACGGGGGTCACCGGGGGTGCGCAGAGGTTCAAGTGCGTCACGGACCTGCTGACCAGCGCCGTCACCCCGCCCAGCGACCGGCCCTCCTGCCGCGCCTGCGCCGCACCTGCAGCCTCGGACGGCCGCTTCGCCTCGGACCCGGAGGGCTCGCGCCGCGGGTCGCGGTTCTCGCTGCGCTCCCCGCGGTCCAGCGAGCGCCACACCACGTCCAGGTTGGTGCGGGCGCGGGTGAGGCGCGGGCGCAACGGGGTGCCGCTGAGGTGCGGGGGAAGTCGCCCGGACGCGGCCGACTGCTGCAGCTGCTCGATCTGACGGCGCACCAGCGACGGCTGCGGCAGCTGGGAAACGCACTGCATGTCTCCGGCGGGGTGTTCACAGGTGACACGCGCTTCCAACGTCCATAGTCCTCCAGCACAGTCAGCAGTCCGGCTCTGACTCACACCGCGAATCAGCAACGCACTTTTAGCTAACGCGGAGGTCCGAAACACGCTACACGAAGACTACTTGCTCAGCGCGGGGGGCAGGGAAGTCTCAGGGTGGGCGGGTGCAGTCGGTCCGCGGAGAACAACGACACGGCATGGACTGCGGCCCCGAGGCTGGGCGGGCTAGCCTACACCGCGGCGCGTAGCGGCGCGTGCTGCCCCATGCAGCGTCCACCTGGGGGGCGGCGGCCCTCCGCAGCGATCACTATTATTGTCGGAAAGCATAACCCAGCCTCGGCCCAGCCTTGAGACAGGGGACAGCGTGCCCCCACGATCCTAGCTGTACTACGTGGATCTTATTACACGAGACAGAAAATCACACAAGGTTCTTATAGCAGGTGGGTTTGGGTCGGTCAGGGTGGTACGGAAATGGCAAAAGGTATCGCGGACAGACGCAACTATTTACTTCGCCAATTCGCTTCTCACTCTCTCTGCATCCACACGACCCAGACACGACCAGAAAGAACCTGAGGCAGACGTGCGACTTCCCACGGCGGGGACGTGCTCCGGGGGGAGCACGTCGTCGTAGCGCGAGTACAGCAGACGGCGTCTCAGCGCCACCAGGTAGTCGGCCGAGTCCTCAACGAGGCGCTGTCCAAGGCTGTGAACCAGCGGCCACACCATGCCGCAGTAGAAGCACGCCCCCATCCTGACGCGTCTCCGCTCCGTGATGCAAGCTACTCATATGTGCCGGCAGCACATTAGCAGCAACCGCAGTGCACTTGCTCGCTCCAGCTTTGCTGGGGGGGGGGGGCTTCCCTCGCATTCGGGGGGGCCTCCCCCACCCAACTACTCGTTAGTGCGACAGAGAGAGTAAGATGCTATTTGTAATCTCTCTGGTCCTTGGCTCTGGCGTTGCAACGTTCTGCCCATACGACGGGAAAAGGGGCTCA